AAAAAAAAAAAAAAAAAAAAAAAAATCAGTAAAGGATCTGGAACCAGGGACCCATATAGGAATCTAAGAAGCATGTCATAAACATAAGACTAATGTACTAATTATGTATGGTGCTCTTTTGCTGACTAATTCTTCTATTTTAGATAATGAAAGAAATCCAAGAACATAAAATTAAAATATATGAATTTCCAGAAACAGATGATGAAGAAGAAAATAAACTTGTTAAAAAGATAAAGGTAGGTTCATCCCTATAAATACACTAAAGTAATTTGGGGCCTTAAAAACATACTATGACATCCACAGGAAAGATCAAAACTATCAGTGTTTTAAGTAGTTGGCTTACAAAATGCCTAGGGAGATTTAATGTTGAATCAGCTTTATAGTTAACTTTGAAGACTAGCAACTATATATAATAAGGAATTGTATAAACTACCAAGGCAACACAATCCTTATTTCAAATTGTTTTTAGTTAACTGGCTTTCATATTAAGTAATTTTTTTCCCTCTTAAAAAACAAGTGATGAGAAAGGAGAGAATTGATTGTTAAGTTTTAATCACCAAAGATGTATTTATTTTGTCTTTATAAAAACCAACCAAAATTACAGCTAGATAAGAGGAATAAGTTCTAGCATTCTGTAGCATTGTAGGGTGGCTGTAGTTACAGTAATTTAGTCTATATTTTCAAATAGCCAGAAGAGAGGATAATGAACATTCCCAATACAGAAAAATAAGTTTGGGTTGGTAAATATGCTAATTACTCTAATTTGATCATTACATATTTATATATAGGTATCAGAATATCATACTGTACCCCACAGATATATACAGTTATGTTTCAGTTAAAAATAACCAACTAAAAATTCACATCAGCATAATTTCCTGTATTTTAATGTATCATGGTTTTCTAAGTACTTTGCATCTAAAAATGGTATACTGAATAATGGCATATGTAGGCAGGTATCTTGGAATAATGAAATACTTATACCTTGCCAATGAAGAATTTCTGCAGTTTTATAAAATACCTACTTAGATATTTCCACGAGTCACAAAATTGCGAAACCTTATATGTGGATGAATGCAAATCCAGTCACTTGGATTTAAAGTTCCAAAGTTAGAGCTTAGCAAATATACTATTCTGTGCTTTAGGTACTGTTTTAGTTGGTTAGTGATCAGGTAGGCAGGCTAGTCACTAGCCTCCTTTTTTCCCCAAATGCCAATATATTTTTTTACCTTTTTTCTCCCAAGTATGGGAAAACTTTCTGTAGTGATATTTAGTAAGTAATTTGACCAGTGTATGCTTGAATATTCTTAACTGTAAAGAGAAAATTTAATTTTATTTATTGTTTACCTTGGTGGTAATACCATGTGATGGCAATTTACTAAATATTTGTTAAATGGTCTGTAAAAATTAATGCAGAAACCATCAAAGTAATTTTTTTTTTTTTTTTTTGCTAATCTGTTGAGTAATGTGACTTTTTTTTATTCTTGAATTTGTGAGGACTACAGAGCTGTATTTGAACAAGAATACTTTGTTTTATAGGACCGTTTACCTCTTGCTGTGGTAGGTAGTAATACTATCATTGAAGTTAATGGCAAAAGGGTCAGAGGAAGGCAGTATCCTTGGGGTGTTGCTGAAGGTAAGGTTTTCTTCAGTGAATGACTTTCAGTAATATTTAAAAACTGTGATTAAAAATTTTTATTTATAGTAAGTAGTACAATATGCATACTGCATTAATATATTCTAGATTTTCAAGGAAAGTACCGATTTCAGGTTCTTGGAGTCTCATTTTCCTCTTAAGTACATTCATATGTTTTGAACCTGTATCCTATTAAGCAAGTATGTGTTAAGTCCTAAAGTTGTAATACAGGTTGAACATTCTTAAAGGGAAAATCCAGAATGTGAATTGCTCCAAAATCTAAAAGGTTTTGAGCACTGATATGCCGCTTAAAGGAAGTGCTCAGTGGAGCATTTTGAATTTTGGATTTTCAGATTAAGTATGTTCAACCGGTAAGTATAACACAGATATTCCAAAATTCCAAAACAATTCTGGTCCCAAGCATTTCAAATAAGAGATACTCAACTTGCCCCACCCTGGCTGACATCCCCGCCTCATCATTAAGTCTATTTCTGTTTCCTTATTGAAAACATACTTGGCCAGGCATTCTCCTTTCTAAAGTAATGCTCACACCCGTAATCCTAGCACTTTGGGAGGCTGAGGTGGGTAGACCACGAGGTCAGGAGTTCAAGACCAGCCTGGCCAAGGTGGTGAAACTCCATCTCTACTAAAAATACAAAAATTAGCCAGGGGTGGTGGTGGGCACCTGTAATCCCAGCTACTTGGGAGGCTGAGGCAGTAGAATTAATTAAACCCAGAAGGGGGAGGTTGCAGTGAGCCAAGATCGCACCACTGCACTCTAGCCTGGGCAACAGAGCAAAACTCCATCTCAAAAAAAAGAAAACATAACTTAAAATTCAGGATTTCTTTAGTGGGGTCCAAAGTTTGCTCCCAGGAGATCTAATGAACCTTCTGGAATCAAACATTTTGGAGAAAAGGCCAGTCATTTTTATCGGAATGTTAGATGGGTCATGGACCTTCAAGAATAATTGAAAAATTCATACACCTAGTTAAAACATTCACAGTCTGCTTTCCTCAATGCAAAAGTTGCCCTTTTTGACACTGTAAATTTAGAGTTAAAAAATTTCATTAGTAAAAGAGACTCTTTACTAGTTTTGTAAGGAGTTTTTTGTTTTGTTTTTAAACCTGCTATCTGAAATTATTAAGGGTTAAGTAAGGAGTTTTAAATTCCAATAAAATCTTAGTTATAACACCATACCTCAGAAATCCTCTTGGCAGTAGGTTTATTGTATTGATTTAATCTGATATTTAATCTTCTGTATTATAGTAAGCCAAAACCAAAATTAAGACATGATTGTTTTATCTGTTTGTTGCTATTATTTTGAACTTTTTTTTTCTTTAAAAAAAAGACAAGGTCTTGCTATGTTGCCCAAGCCGGCCTCAAACTCCTGAGCTCGAGTGATCCTCCCATATCATGCTCCTCCCACATCACATCACTGTAGGCACACACCACTGCCCCTGATTTATTTTGAACAATTCTTTAATTTTTAGGATACTGTTTCAAATTACTGTTCTTACTGGCAGTTTTCCCACCAGTGACCGCTGTAACTTGATCCCAGCTCTATCATGCCCAGACAACTTTCAGTTGCTGAGCTGAGGCTTTAGAACTTACTTACCTCTTAAAAATATGCACTGGAGAAATTGATTTACGTCAATGTTTTGTAGTTTACCCCTCTACTCCCAAGTAATATTCCTATTTGTGATACATTCTTTTACATAAAAATAAAGAACCTTAAAGTTCTTGGCTCCCTTTTTCATTTTGGTTACCTTAAGATTTTTTCTAAAGTGATTCTCCCTTCACTCACACCACTGAATTTTTTAAATGTATTATAGAATAAATATATTTTCTACACCAGTAATGAGACAATACATGATTTCCCCTTTCAAAATTTCAAAATTTTTTTCTGGAGAACTCATTTTGTTAGGTTTACGCATCGATTTCTGAGGATTAAAGTACAATAAGGCAATAATATAGTACACTTCTCTGTCATGCCCTTACATTGAGTAGTATGTTAGTGTTAAATCTCAAAAAAATTGATCTAAGCTGTTTTGCATTTCCCCTCATTGTTTTACCCCCTAAGTTCCTGTGAAATATTTTTTGAAAAGACTAGGTTTAGTGAAATATAATATATGTGGTCTATTTTTTTCTTGCAGTTGAAAATGGTGAACATTGTGATTTTACAATTTTAAGAAATATGTTGATAAGGTAAGTGCAAGCAATGATAGAAATAGCATAAGATTTTATTTCCCTAAATAAGTTAGAGCTGGACAGATTTACTTTTTGTCTTCTATAAATGTAGCTAATTTAAATTTATATCTTCAGTCTAGTAATGAAGTAAGCACTACATGTAGACAACTTAGATTCTTTCTCCAAGGTTTTGAAGCCGTGAGCAAAAGTGACAAAATAATTTGTGTGTCTAGGGATACACAGGAAAATTCATCACATTATCATTATACTTTGTGTTGAGGTTTAATACTGAAATAACTATGGAAAGTGAAATAGAAGAGGCTCTTGTTCTTAATGTGAAAAACTTATGAAAACTATATAAGGGAAGGCTAGTTTTGAGTCAAAAGGTAGAATTTGAATGTTAAAAGGTGCACAGCCTGGTAGCTGGTGAGTAGGGCATTTTTTATGTAATGAAACATAGCGAACAAAACTAATTTTCCTACCAGGTGAGAAAAAAATTCCTAAATTGTGTCTTGCACACCTGCTGAAAGAGAAGGAAAGCCTGTGGGAGCAGGACACTGAGGCCATCCTGATTAGAGGACCAGGACTTGAATTAGAAAAGCAGCAGCAGAGAGGAAATCATGAAGAAAAAAAGTGTAATAGGACTAGAGACAGTAGGTAAGGAAAAGAAAGGGCATCAAAATGATCCTCAGTGTTTTCACGTTGAGACACGTTCTTTCCTCTCTGCCTTACTCCGTTTTTCCCACTTCTGTCTCTTGCTTCTCTATGCCTTTACCACATCCTCTGTAACCTCCAGTTTTAGATGTCTGTCTTAAGTTGATAGCTATTCATTTTCATACCTATATGCATTTTCCCAAAACATAAGAATCTCTTTAGCTGTGTAAAGAAAGGTAGTAACATAAATATGCATAATAATTGGAAATCATGAAATAACAAGAATGTCATTCTCACAAGTGAGAAGTGAGGGGGAGAATTTAAAAGAGTCAAACTGCTACCTCAAGAAATATATAGATGAGAGTGAATTTTGAAATTAAAGAAATTGGCAGGTAATTGATTTTTTTTTTCAAAGGAGCAGGTGTTTTTGGTAGGAACTACATGATAGGGTTAATTCAGCAGTTGGGGTTGCCAGGCCTCACTTAGTGGGAGAAGAGCAAATGCACGAGAAGGTCATCCTCTGGGTTTTGAGAATACAACACTTCAGGCTCTATTATGAACTGTTTCCTTCGTCTTCCATTCCTAAGGTGTGACTTCAAAAGAAAAATAATGTAATCTGCCAAGATAGTATATAGGTAGAGAATGTTTAATAAATATTAATTACCATTGCATTCCTCTTGTTTTTAAATCTTCTATGGTACTTGTCCAGTGCTTGACACTGTGGCATTCAATAACTTTTTCTTTTGTATTTTAAAAGTATACAATCAATAATTGCCTGCATACCTGAAACACTGTAGAGGGGAAAGCTAATTACTGAGCCAGAAGCTACTTTGTTGAGATGGAGTCTCACTCTTGCCCAGGATGGAGTGCAGTGGCGCAATCTTTGGCTCACTGCAACTTCCGCCTCCCAGGTTCAAGCAATTCCCCTGCCTCAGCCTCCAGAGTAGCTAGGATTACAAGTGTGTGCCGCAACACCTGGCTAATTGTATTTTTAGTAGAGACAGGGTTTCCCCATGTTGGCCAGCCTGGTCTCAAACTACTGACCTCTCAAGTGAGCCACCTGCCTCAGCCTCCCACAGTGTTGGGATTACAGGCATAAGCCACTGTGTCCATGGCCAAGAGGCTACTTTGAATATTTGAAGGTTCACAGCTTGGCAGCTAGTGAGGGGCCTCCCTAGTGTAAGCATTACAGAGCAAATTGACCATGCCTGCAGGAAGATTTAATACATCAGAGCAGTAAGACTGTTATGCCTAAAAATTCTAAAGTTATATATTATTAAAAAGATGTATATTTAATTTAGCTCATGTCTTTAAGACAAAGGCACCTAGTGGATATTTAATACATACTTGAAGGAAATACATTACCAGTATTGCAGATGTCTGTAAATCCCAAGTAATTGAAATCTTGCAGGTCAAAGTTAGGAACAGTGATTGCTTCTAAGAAAGAAGCAAGTTCAAAGAAGTGTTTGCTAATTAAGAGAACTGACTTACTGCAAGGCAAACCAAGGAAGTCAATGGAAAGGAGGAAAACTATACAGATATTTTCAGGTGTGGGGATGGGTGTTTGAGAATTCAACTAGGGAAAGAAAACAAAAGGAGAACAGAGTTACGTTATCAGCAATGGGAAATGGAAGAGACAAATTCCTGAAACTGAGGAAAGCTGTATTGCTAATTACCAGATTATTTTGAGAATGGAGGAGTGGGTTGAATCATAAAAGGATAAAGCATATTTAATTCAATGGAAATACTTTTATAACCTGAAAAAATCAGAATTATGTAGTCATATAGAAGACTTTAGTGATTTTAGTGAAAGGGAAAATCAGTCATTATCTAAAATGTTAGATCACACAAAAATAGCTTAACAATTAGTAAATTCACCTTACTTTTATTGTACATATTCATGCAAGCATTTCATGTAAGTATTTTTCCTTAGGACCTTTAATGATTTTTCAGTGATGCAGGGATGAATGTAATGTAATTAAAATTAGACTGGGTGCAGTGGCTCACACCTGTAATCCCAGCACTTTGGGAGGCCAAGATGGGAGGATTGCTTGAGCTCAGGAGTTCAAGACTGGCCTGGGCAACGTGGCGAAACCTTTTCTCTACTAAAAATAGAAAAAATAGTTGGGCATGGTGGTGCATGCCTGCCTGTAGTCCAAGTTACTCAGGAGGCTGAGGTGGGAGGATGGTTTGAGCCTGAAAGGCAGAGGTTGTAGTGAGCTGAGATCATACCACCATACTCCATCTAGCCTGGCTGACAGAGCGAGACCCTGTATCCAAAAAAAAAAAAAAATTACATAAACGTTGTTTTATATTGGCATAAGTGTTTGTTCTTATTATTCTCTACTTAGAGAAACTGGTATCAATAATTTATTCCAAAAAGTGTTTATTATATCTCAACTTCAATCTTGAGTTACTAATTCTGTTAAAGTTCATGTTATCTGCTATCTGCATTGGGACACAAAAGGTAATGGCATGTTCCTTCTAAAGGGGAGCTTATAGTTGAAGAGGTATGATGTCACCTGTGACATATAACAAAAATGAATGACAACCAAGGAGAAAATGGTCATGGTTGGAATGCTTTGATGTCAAGGCTGGGAAAAAGGTTTCCAAAGCAGTTGAACTCTTTGATGAGAGATTGACAAATTAGCATGAACTGTTCAGTCTCAACCACCAGATATGCCAGGAGTAGGGAGCTGCCTAACTTGCCTGAAGCGGAGTGGTAGAGCTTTAGAAGTAACTGTTATCGCTATAAGAGAACATGGATTTATCAAGGGACAGAGTCTGGGAGATGAGATTTTTGGAAAACCCGGACTTAGGACTAAGGAGAGTGAACTAGCAGAGAATTGCATGGAAATGTTAGTACAAAATGAATCAGAGTGATTGAATATCACATTTTATTCACAAAGGGAGAGTTTCAAGAAGCTGGACTGTGAAGTAACAGTAAAAGTTTTCTGGGTATAAGGAATGATAAAAAGTACAACAGTACACTTTTTTTTTTTTTTTTTTTTTGAGCTGGAGTCTCGCTCTCGTCATCTATGATGGAGTGCAGTGCATGATCTTGGCTCACTGCAACCTCCATGTCTTAGATTTAAGCAATTCTCCTGCCTCAGCCTCCCAAGTAGCTGGGATTACAGGCATCTGCCACCACATCCGGCTAATTTTTGTAGAGATTGGGGTGCCACCATGTTGGCCAGGCTGGTCTCGAAATCCTGAGCTCCGGTAATCCATCCACCCCAGCCTCCCAAAGTGCTGGGGTTACAGGCGTGAGCCACTGCGCCCTGCCAACAGTACACCCTTTTGTCTCCCAGAAGGGAGTTTTAGTAAAGTGGTGAAGATGAATGATGGCAGATATAGGAAGTTTGATACAGAATGGGTGATGAGGAGGACTAACAAATAGAGTATTGCCATACCATGTATATCCAAGAACACTACATTGGTAAATAATATCCATACAGCAGCTAAGGGTATCTTTAATGTCTTGAATTATCAGATAATGATGACATCATCTCATGTATTGTAGATTCATCTCATATATTGATTTTATATATGACAGAAATGCTGTAAGCAAAAATTGGTTTAACCAAAATACCACGTTCACTAGACAGTTTGAATAAACAAATTTACTCTAAAATTCCCTAGCCTGAAAACAATTCGATGTGTAATCCAAAATGTATTATTATGTATTACTAAAGACTCATATATTACCTTAGAAATATTGCTAAAAGAAAGGCAGTTTCTATTAGACTTTATGAGCTTCAGTAGTAGCTAATCAACACTCTTCTGTCTGATATTTAAATAGATACTGTAAAGATGAATACTCTTTCATAGAAAGATCATCCTTCAGAAACTGCTTGGAGGGATTTATGGGCCTTAAAATCTAATTTGGAATCTAAATTTGGTGTCAAGTTAGCTCATTTTTTATTGGTCTACTTTGAGTGTAAATGAAAACAGGTGAATGCCACCTTCCTTAAGGTGTTCATTTTAAATCTGAAATTTTTGTTATGGTAAAATTTTGAATTTATATTAAAGCTTTTTAGCTTTTTTATCCCTAGCTATTAACAGAAGCAAACTCTTGCTGTTTATTTATGACAGAACACACATGCAGGACTTGAAAGATGTTACTAATAATGTTCACTATGAGAACTACAGAAGCAGAAAACTGGCAGCTGTGACTTATAATGGAGTTGATAACAACAAGAATAAGGGGCAGCTGACTAAGTAAGTATATTTTTTTCTCCAAAAAAGGTATTATTTCTATAGTCAACAATCATATTGTTTCATTTTCATTAAATTTCTACTAGCTACTCAGTAGAAAATTTGGATAATGTTCTGTATCCACAACAGTATAAATTTATATTGTTAAGGTTTGTTAATAGTAGAAGCTTTTTCGAATGAAACATTTTGATAGAGTTTTCACTTACAGATTATGTGGAAACAAAGGACAGCCTTTAACAAAAGGAATATTTAGATGAATTTGTTCTTGGTTACCTTCTGTATTCCTTTTCCAGGGAGTAAATTAGCTGGAGTTTGGGTTTCTTCTTTTGGTGTTAGAGTGGTGTTGTAAGTGACCACCAAGTGTGTAGCTGTGCCCTGTTGAACTTATCTCAAGTTGTGGTTTCATGTTGGGATCAAAAAAAGAGATGTGTGAGGAACCTGGTAACCATGTCTGTGTCCTGCTTTTTAAAACTTTGTCATTATTGAAAACCATAATTACGTCATACTTAACAATGGGGATACAGTCTGAGAAATGTGTAGAGCCTTCTACACATCTAGGTTATGTGGTATAGCTATTTGCGTGTAGGCCACAAACCTATATAGCATGTTACTCTACTGTACTGTTATAGACAGTTATAATGGTATTTGTGTGTCTAAACCATAGAAAAGGTACAGTAAAAGTACAGTATAAAAGATTAAAAATGGTATACCTGTATAAGGCGCTTGGTTAATGGAGCTTGCAGGACTGGAAGTTGCTCTGGATGAGTCAGTGAGTGAGTGGTGAGTGAATATGAAGACCTGGGACATTACTATACACTACTGTGGACTTTATGAACACTATACACTTAGGCTGTACTAAACTATTTTTTTATTTGTCTTCAATAATCTTGTTGTAGCTTATTTTATCTAAATTTTAAAAGAAACTCTGATTTTTTTGTAGTAACACTTAAAATACAAACACATTGTACAGATATACAAAATATTATCTTTATAATCTTTACAAGATTTTTATATTGTAAAAATTCTTTTTTTCACGTAAAACATTTTTGGTGTGTGTGAGAACGAAGAGAGAAACTTACACATTAGCCTAGGCCTACTCAGGGTCAAGATCATCAAGATGCCATTGGGCAATAGGAATTTTTCAGTTCCTATGGGCCACCATCATATATGCAGTCCTTTGTTGACTGAAAGGTCATTACGTAGTGCATAGCTGTATTACAAAACCATTTTAAATGATGTGCATTTGCAGCTAGGTGTTATCTACCATTAGATGATAATCCTGAAGGATCAACGATATAAGTGGGAAAGACAAGTTCTCAAAGTAGCTATACTGTTTTCTGTAGTGCTTAACATTCCTTATAATGGAATAGAAAAATGTCCCTTCTTAAGTATTTAAAATACAAGATTCTGTTTGAGTAAGCTTCAATCTGTGAACAAAAGGAAGGCTTTTTATCTTTTTTTAGCAAAATTGTTTATTGAGCAACTTTGGCACAAAAACGTAAGGATCCATCATAGTGAATATTGTTCATAAAATCCTAATTCACTTTAAACTCATTAAAAGAAACATATACACAAAGCTACTGATAATTTTGTATGTTAAATACTACCAGTATATATATTTTTAAATATATGTACTTATTCAATATTTTCTTTTAAACATTTGTTATGTCATAGACATAAGGAATTGTTTATTCTCATATCTCAAATATAAGGCTTTTTAAAGTAGTGCTGTTGGATGTAGGCAAGGTAATTCAGAGAAAAATAGTAAACTTTACAGTAGCATTAAATTTTTTTCTGCGTATACAAAATTCTGTGGGGATAGTGAGTTAAACTATATCCCAGGTGAAAACATAAAAAGTAGAAATCTACTGGAAATATATCTCTTAAAGAGAGGAATCGTAACCATTCTTTGCCTATGCAAATAAAAAAAGAAACGTTTGCATTGCTAAAAAGCAAATTGCCCCAGGAGCTAGCACAATATTTTATTTTATGTTAATAAGTAGGAAAATAAATATTTTAGAAGATTAAGCCAACTGGAGAATGGCTGTAATTGGAATAGATACTTGATATGATTTGATAAATTAGTTTGTTACTACTTCATTGAATAACACATACTGAATGTGAAAGAAATCACTTAGAAGTTTTAGCTATTGGTTGTATTACATTGTCTTGAAAATTTAGCAATTTCAAAAAAAAATTTTTGTTAAATTTTTCTTTAAAAATCATTATTAACAGCATAGGTGCTTTAGCTGATGTAAGGTGTTTTTCCTTATAGCACATATCCATGAATAACTGAAAAGAAAGACTAATATTTAAGTGAAGTAATCAGGTGTGAGTTTAGGCTTCTTTTAATGTTCTTTTTGTGTATTGCTCTCATGCCACTCTCCATAGCAGTGTATCCTTTGACAGTAGTAGTGGAGTGGGGTTGAGAGTTGCAAGAATTTTGGAATGGAAGGTGAACCTATTGAAAATGTCTAGTTGTGATCTTTGGCAGTGTATGCTTCACAAAGTGCTAATCTCACTTTGGTTTTAGAATATAAGCTAAACTTTTTTTTTGAGACAGAGTCTCACCCAGTCGTCAGGCAGGAGTGCAGTAGTGTGATCTTGGCTCACTGCAACCTTTGCCTCCTGGGTTCAAGCAGTTCTCCTGCCTCAGCCTCCCATGTAGCTGGGATTACAGGCCTCTGCCACCACGCCTGGCGAGATGGGGTTTCACATGTTGGCCAGACTGGTCTCGAAATCCTGACCTTGTGATCTGCCTGCCTTGGTCTTCCAAAATGCTGGGATTATAGGCGTGAGAAACCGTGCCCTTCCTAAAAGAAGATTTTGAAACGTCATTACATGTTTCTCTGCAGTCTCTTATTTTCCCTCTAGAGTTATTTAAATAATAATTTAGGTGGCAAAATTACCTGCTCCTTCCCAAGCAAAAAGTAAAATAAACATTTTGTAGGTGAGTTATATAAGTAGGAATAGATATTTAATTCTGTCTGAATTCTAATTTACTATATTTACATTCACAATTATATTGTTGGATAATCTTAAGTTGCTTAAATACACATATTCAGTTACTTAAGTTAGCAATTAAAAAAATCATTTTTAGATGATTTCTAGAGCCTAAAAAAGATTTTTGGGTGTTAGGGGACAGTGGGAATTATAAACCCTTTGAAATCTAACAAAAGCTTTGGACCCTTTCACTGAAAGAATGCTGGCAAACACAAACACAGACACACATTTGGTATGTCATTTTGGGGCAGTCACTGACACTGTGTGTGTTCAAGAGATCAGAGGCATCTATATTAAAAACACCTGCCATTAATATGAAGAATATATTATTAAGAAGGATTGCATCAACTTTTAACGAAAAAATGGTATTTACACTTGAAAATGTATTTTAGCTGACTCTACTTTTAAAATGCAGGTTTGTGTTGTAAATTAATATGTCTGCTTAGTTTCATTTTCAGAACTTTTGATTCATTGGTTAATTGGAAAAATATATGGCAGGTTTAAATGTAGAAGTAAGTTTTCTTTTAGTGAAGAAATATCCTTGAGTTAAATAACATTTTATTTGAATTTACAGAATTGCGAAAATAGATCATCTTAATCATAGCATTACATCACATCTTTGTTCTTCCTTTTTGTTAAGAAAAACTAGGTCAGGCGCAATGGCTCACGCCTGTAATCCCAGCACTTTGGGAGGCCGAGGCAGGCAGATCATGTGGTCAGGAGTTTGAGACCAGCCTCGCCAACGTGGTGAAACCCCGACTCTACTAAAAATACAAAAATTAGCCAGGCATGGTGGTGGGCGCCTGTTATCCCAGCTACTTGGGAGGCTGAGGCAGGAGAATCACTTGAATCAGGGAGATGGAGGTTGCAGTGAGCCGAGATTGTGCCATTTGACTCCAGCCTGGGCAACAAGAGCAAGACTCCATCTCAAAAAAACAAAACAAAACAAAAAAAACAACTGGTAGCCAGTTTTCTGTCCTTTTTGTTTTGTTTTTAACATTTTCTATCTAGTTCTCTTGCCTTCTTCCTTGATAGAAAAGAAAATTACTATGATGGTCAAGTATTTTGCCTAATAAGGAGAACAGTCACCATAATGAGTGTGTGTCAAATCAGGGTTAAAATGACTAGCCTTATAGTTTTGGTTGAAATCCAAAGTCTTTTTTGTTTTAAGCCATGAGTTAATTCTTATTTTAAGATTAGTGTATAACAATAAAATTTACCCATTTAAAACATACTTTACTCTCCCTGCCCCCGCCCCGTAGAGATGGGGGTATTGCTGTGTTGTCCAGGCAGATCTTGAACTCCTGATCTCAAGCAATCCTCCCACTTTGGTCTCCCAGAGTGCTGGGATTACAGGCACAAGCTACCGTGCCTGGCCAACATTTTACTTTTCTACATTATTTATGTATTTTACCCTCAGAACATGTTATGGTTGTATTCTGTGAGTAATGCAGACTGGGTTGTGGGGCAGTTACCATCATGAAAGCAAGATGCAGTAGAGAGCATAATAGAGATTTTTGGAAATTAGCTTTCTTCAAGTCCTCTCTTTTATCATCATTTCTGTTGTCTCAGTTAAAGCCTTATCTTTCTCATGAGCAACCCAGAAAAGATGTGAATTCTGTTGGCATTAAAATTCAGCAATTAGCAATATTTGGAAATTTTAACATTTATCAAAATATATACATAGTAATGTAAAGGCCCCTTAGTCTTGGTTTTCATTTGGAGGTCAGCATTTTATATGGGAGCTGAGATTTTTCCTGTTTTGTTCTCTAATATTGTCAGAAGTAATCCTACTCCGTGGTTTCAACATTTCTCCTTTCCTTTTAATTGGGACACACTCACTCCTTTACCACCAGCTTTAACACATCACAGGTAATTGCAAGCAATAACTAAAATAGTAGTTGTACAACTATGAACTGTGAGCAGCTTGCTCTTTCCCATCGTGGAAATTGGTTGACAGTTTATATCCTTCCATCTGAACCCAGTAACATAACCTGCATTTCCCCCAGCAGTCTCCACTACAACCCACTCTGATACTAATTGCTAAATCAGTTAAGGTCCTTTAGTTAAAAACGAGAGAAGTCAACTCAACTAAATTAAGCAAAAAACAAACAGAACTATTGATTTGGGAAGACACTGGAGGAGCTGGCAGAATCAAAAGATAAGAGGCTTGGAGTACCAAGCCTCGGGTAGAGCAGACCTTACCTTGGTGGCTTTGGGGGCCTTCTAGGAAAGCCCCTGCTTCTCCCTAGTTTTCAGAATCCTGGGAGAGAATCTGAGTGGCCCAATATGAGTCAGGTATGACTGTGCTTGGATCAATCAGCCCTGGGAGGAAAGAGGAGAAATAGCACATAGGGTAAACAAATCAATTTGAGTCTACAATATTTTTAATAACCATCAGATGAGGAAGGCCTTTCTAAGCTACTTTTAAGATTTAGATGCCAGAATGGAAAAGTGTGAAAGATAATATATTAAAATGTGAAACATCTCTGTGACAAATCATGCCATAAAAAAAAGTGGCCAACTGGGACAATCTGTTTGCCATAAATAAAGAATTTTCCGTAATATACAAACCTGTGAGAAAAAGATAAACCCAGTCAGGAAATTGGCAATTTATAGAAGAAATGCAAATGGTTTATAAAGATATGAAAAGAACAACTATATCTAGTAATCAGGGAAGTACAGATTGCTAACCATTATTTTGGACCTATCAGATTTGAAAATTTAAAAAGATATATATCAAATGTGGGCAAAACTATGGGGCTGCAGAGACTTACACAGAGGTGGGGGAGTTTAAATTTGTATTGTACTGGAGGGATGATTTTGGCAGTACCAACCAATATTTAAATGTTTGAGTTCTCTGACCAAGCTTCTGGGACTCTTAACAGAAAAACCCTCATTGTACAAATATGTATTTTTACAAGGGTATTTATGACAGCATTATTTGTAATCACAAAGAAGATAAAAAAGCAAATATCTGACATATAGAATGGCTAGATGATTTCTTATATCCATTGTGATATTCTATACTGTCATTAAAATAAATGTGTTCACATAGATCTCTAAGTTAAAAAAAAAAAACACAAAAAACAGGCTTTGGTCAAAGCCTGTTTTTATGGAAGCAAAATAAGCATACTTTATTAACAAAGTCAAAGAGGGGCCTGCCTCATTTAATTTGTCCCAGGGTATTGAATAATTTTCAGACATTCTCAAAGCAAAGAGGCTACTTATTTTTCTGCTCCTGGGCTGAAAGCACCAGGTACTCTGGCATTCTTTATATCTCTGTAAGTGTATTAGCCTTAACTTAAAGCCCACCCGTAAATATATCTCAGTGTGAAAATTTTGAACACAGTTGTACAAAGAGATTTGAGTCCATGAACTTCAACGTCAACAGAGTGAACAATTTTTGTATTTAACTATGCTTATATCTATTTTTTTATTGAAAAATAATTATTAACAAAATATGTGCCCCTGATTATCTCTAAAGTACGTGTGTATGTTTTAAATCACTGAACATCTTTAAAACTTAAGACTGTGAAATATTTGAGTTAAGTGGAATGAATTTTCAAGAGCATTGAAGTTATCGTAAGGGGTCTAGAAATATTCTGTATACCTAAATAGTGCTCTAGGTGTTGACCAGTAGTTGTTTCCAGCATATTGGTTCAGTTACCAAATAAGTTATAATATTGTTCATTTTTGTGGTGTCAGTAGCTGTCTTAAAAGATATTGTAAAACTTGAAATTTTAGTAAAACTAAAAATACTCTACATGTTAACTTCATTACTCATTTTCTGTTTTTCATGTTAAAATTTTGTTTAAAGAACAAAATTATATGATTTTCTGCTAATGTTTTATTCTGTGAATGTATTTTGGAAATTTTTTTCCCATTTTCCTTCTACAGTTTATTTGTTATATCATCATCCTTAGATTTGATATGCAGTCGATTTAGAGAACATCTTTGTTTTTTAGATTTTTTCTATCAAGTTTTATATATGAAATATGGAAAGATGTTCTAGGTTATAAATATATTAATAATGGCATACATACATATATAGCATCTCATTTGTTTTTATCAGCAGTTTCATAGTTCTGTATTATAATTTTTATTCACATTTAATGATTACCTTTAATATTCATGACAGGAGCCCTCTGGCACAAATGGAAGAAGAAAGAAGGGAGCATGTAGCTAAAATGAAGAAGATGGAGATGGAGATGGAGCAGGTGTTTGAGATGAAGGTCAAGGAAAAAGTTCAAAAACTGAAGGACTCTGAAGCTGAGGTAATCAGGCTAACATTCCATCTATTAGACATTGTGTTCCTTTTTAAATAGTGTTTTCAATAAAATTTATAGATATTATAACCTTTTTATACATATTTTTTCAAAATTAATACCCTAGCGTAACAAAATGGAGAAATAAGCATTGTATTTATAATAAAATAATGTATACTTTAATATGTAAAGTATTACATATTAATAGAATATTAATATGTAATATTAATATTATTCTATTATATAGAATAATAGAATACTTATAATGGAATATTAAAGTTATAATGAACAAGTTTGAGTTGTAAAAAATAAAATTATAAGCCATTCCAAACAGGTGGCATAACAACACTAAAGATGAGAGTCGAGGGTGGATATATGCATAAAAACTAGTGTTAGGATAATAATAATTGGCCAGACTTATTTGTATATTGAATGAAAAAGAGGGAAATAACCTTTTTTGAACTAAAGACGTGCCTGGATAAATTACACACAGTTAAAGGAGAGAAAATTAGTTAATGTGATATTTTTGTTAACAGGTTGGGCCTTATTTATAATGTAGTGTCAAGGTAATTCCTAGTGTTACAGCACTGGACCAGGGTAATGACAGAACATCCCAGCAGACGTATCTACTGTCTTGAAACCTTTCTAGATGTTGAGTTATACATTTAGTTTCTATTAATCAAAAAGACCTTGGAGACGTTTCCTTCAATAGGTGGCAAGAAAGAAAAGGTGGAGGAAAAGAGAAACTTAACATAAGAATCCATAGAGCAGTTAGTTTGATAGATGTTTGAGAATAGTAGAAAAAACTATGGGTAAACCCAAAATAAATCAGAATTTCAGTATGAAGTTTTCTCAACATAAATTTGTTATAATTATAGGCAGGGTGTGGTGGCTCATGCCTATACTGTAATACCAACACTTTAAGAGGCTGAGGTGGGTGTCACCTGAGGTCAGGAGTTTGAGATCAGTCTGGCCAATATGGTGAAATCCCGTCTCTACTAAAAATACAAAAATTAGCTGAGTGTGGTGGTAGGTGCCTGTAATCCCAGCTACTTGGGAGGCTGTGGCAGGAGAATCACTTGAACCTGGGAGGCAGAGGCTGCAGTGAGCTGAGATCACGTCACTGCACTCCAGCCTCAGCGACAGATGGAGACTTTGTCTGAAAAAATAAAACCCATAAAATAATAAGTTCTTTTTAAATATGTGAGATGAAGGCCAGGTGTGGTAATTCACATCTGTAATCCTAGCAGTTTGGGAGGCCAAAGCAGAAGGATTGCTTGAGTCCAGGAGTTTGAGACCAGCCTGGGCAACATGGCAAGACCCAATCTCTACAAAATATTTAAAAAAAAAAAAAAAAAAAATAGTTGGGCACGGTGGCATGTGCATATGGTCCCAGCTGCTTAGGAGTTTGAGGCAGGAGGATCACTTGAGCCTGAGAGATTGAGGCTATAGTAGGCCATGATTGTATCACTGCACCCCAGCCTGAGTGACAGAGCTAGACCTTGTCTCAAAATTATATATATTTATATAATTTTGACAGTCATATAAAATATTTTTAAAACAATTGTCAGTGATCAAATTTAGTAAGATCCCTGTGTTTTATGTGACTTCACTAATACAATAATTGTATCTAAGTATATTAAGAGATTCAGATCTCTTCTGTTACATCCTTACAGTTGATTTCATTGCTTTTTTAAGTACTACATAAAATGCAGAAACTTTTTGACTAAAAGCATAACAAAAGTACTCTAATTCATTGAGTTAACAGAATGCATGGCATAAGAAAGTATTAAATAATTTCAAGGAAATGTTTTTATTCTACCACATAATTTCTCTTACATTACTGGGCTTTTCTTGTAATTTCTTATTAAAATCTTTCACTGTTACATTTGTTGTGAGTTTAATTTAGCGGGGGTAAGGAATAATTCCTCCTGGTTTGAGACTGCTGAGTACTATAGGACTAGCATCCCTGGCACTGCCACTAAATAATTATAGCAGTGCCCTCCTATCATAGAGCAAACCAAAACATATATGCACACACCCCCCCAATCAAGAATTACTGTCTCAGCTGTTGCTATTATAAATAATTAATGTTCTTAACATGACATTTTGGAGATTAAGTTCAGCCTGTTGTTAAATATATGCATTGAATCTCTGCCTCTCCAGTAATTCACATACAATCTGGAAAATCTATATCCAAAGAGGGGGAAAAACAGGAATAATCAAGAATCTACTACATTATTTCCACACTCAGATTCCATTGAGAATCTAAAAGTTTAACTTATATTTGAGGCGGATGTATTTTAGGACCTGTTGCTAAGAGAAAATATTATAAGCAAGTAATTGTGAACCTGTAGCCAAGGAACCCTTTGGGAATATTCATGATTACTGTGAATGAGGATAGTTTTGAAGAACTACTCTTTGAAGGATGGAATGTTAACATTTAAAGGACCTGTGAAGAGCTTGGGCCAAGTTCCTACCAATACTCTTAAGCCATTACAGAATTAGGCATGCCCATTCTAGATTCTTTGTCTTTTATGAAACCACATTCAGAGTGTATTTACCAACATCCTTGTGGTAATGAGTTTGCAAATCATCATGTATATGATACATGATAAATATAATGTAAATATGATACATGTAAATACATAAATAGGTAAAGAAACCCTTTTAGCTTTGTTTAATACAGTTTGTCCTTAAATCCACTGTGCTGGAAATATTTGTTTGGGGCACAGTACTAATACCTAGCAGCACAGTACATGAACCATAGCACCAAGCATCTTTCACGTATTATGTCATCTAGTGCACACCACAGCCCTGTAAGGTAGATATTATTGCCCATCTCCCCTTTAAATGAAAAGAAGGATTAGTAAGCCAGCATTTGAACCCAGTTAATTTTTAAGTTTGCTGTTAAGCGCTAGATAGGTCCACAGTTGTGCTTAAATTTCAGAATGGAAAAAACTAAAAACTGCAAAACCTAACATGAACTTAATAAGTTTTAATCCTACATATTGTGAATATTTATATATTTTACTGAAAAAAAATAAAAAGTAATGTATTTGATTCCCTTGTTGCCCCAGATAGCCCAGGAGGTATTTTATAAATATAGTATATACTCCTTTCTAAGCAGTGTTGTCTTTTTAATAACTGAAAAAATTTTGAACTTTGAAAGGCATCTGACCCCATGGGTTTCTTAAGAATGAGATTGTGACCTATACCTTTATCTACATGCAGTTAACACAAAAGATAATTACTTACATGTAACATAAATGTAAGTTAAAGAATGATGAACACTGTATAACCCTACCACCTGGCTTTAAAAAAATAGAATGTTATCAACTCATTTGAAGACCCTGTGTGCTTGTCCCAAGGGCTCTCTCATTCCCACAGGTAACTACTATTCTGAATTGTGTATATGTGATTCCTTTGCATTAAAAAAAAAAAAAAAAAAATTAGAGACATTTTCTTATGTTCCTACTTTCTAAGATTTTCTTAGTAACTTGTTTGCTGTCATCAGAAAGATTTCATCTCAGATTTAACTCATGTTTGCTTAAATGTGTCTTAGGTGATTTTGTTTTGTAGGAATTGCATGAAATAATTGGAATAGGAATAAATCTGAAGTCACCTTGGGCTTGCAAAAAAGAAAAACTGTATGCAAAATTATATTATAATCCACATTCAAGATGTTAACTCATCAATGTAGTAAAATACTTAACAGAACATAATTCCTGGATAACTGAAGGTTTTGAATAGTTCTTGGGTATTTGGCATAGTAGGATTTAATCTGATTTTTTAAATTTGTTGACTTTTCTTCTGAGATGGATTGACTTGTTCCTAAATGAAATTATTTAATGATCTCTTGGACTGAAAGCTCTTTGTTTCTGCAGTTACTTTGCATGAGTCTTTCCCACCTCTCAGCATTCTTTATAGTATCAGTACTCAGCGGAATATTAGAATACTCCTCATTAGAATCACTGTAATTTGTTGAAAACCCACATTTCCAGACCTAACACCCAGATATTCTAATTCGGTACATCTGAGTGAGGTCCAGGATTCAATATTTTTAACAGACATCCCAGGTGATTTGCATGAAGACAGTGTCTGAGAACCACAGCTTACAAGAATTCAGAGTACTTTACTGGCATCTTTGAGCTTGTAGGGTCCTAAACTACCTGCTTGCTTTTCATTTGTCTCAGCTTTCTAAAGTTGGAATTAGGAGGCTTATTCAAGTCCTGGTTCTTCCACTTTATGGTAGCAATCTTGAGCAAGCCACTTATACTCTGCCACTGTTTCCTCATCTGTACAATTAGAACAGTGATGTCTTCACTGCCCAGCTTCCAACATATTTGTGATTAAAGAAAAATGAAATAAGATAGTAATTTTCCATTACAAAGTACTACACCCTGTTAAGTTCGTTGCTTTTTTTTCCCCCGTTTCCCAAGATTATTGTCTTAGGCCTTTTGGGTGGCAGATCCTAAAGTAGGAAGAGTCCTTGATAGTGCTTTCCAGGTAGTACTCTGAATTTACAACAGGGCTGTTCAGTGCTCATACTCTTACCATTAGGATGTCTGGATGAAACATACTTCTGCTTCTGATTTCTTAAATAGTTTTGTTTTATATATTGTGCTATGATTTAGCTCCAGCGGCGCCATGAGCAAATGAAAAAGAATTTGGAAGCACAGCACAAAGAATTAGAGGAAAAACGTCGTCAGTTTGAGGATGAGAAAGCAAACTGGGAAGCTCAACAGCGTATTTTAGAACAACAGAACTCTTCAAGGTAACTAATAGCAGGTTACTAAGAAATGTGTATATTAATGTTTTAAAGAATCGTTTTCCTACTTAATTAAAAAACATTAGAATAACACTTAAAAAGTCATCACCCATTATCATGCATTCCAAACACAATGGTTTTTATGTGGATGAATACAGTCTCTGTACCATAGCAGTATTTTTTCAGTACATTTTCCATGACTTAGTAATTATGATTTAGCAACTTTATAACATTCTCCCCAGTTAACTCACCATAATTGGATTTCTTATCTCCTCCCCCCAATTGTTGGACGTAAGGGTTGTTTTCAATTTTTGGCACACAAAGGGAACATTGCTTCAAAATCTATTACATATTTAGGGGTATGTTTTAATTGTATTGAATTATGTTTTTAGGATAAATTCTTAAGACAAAATGTTAAATATTTAATTTCCAATACAGCTAATCAGTTACTTTCTTTTAATTTATATAAAATTCAATCATATTTTTACCTTGGTTTTCTTTTCCTTAAGAGTTTCATTCAAAACTGAAAAGTGGCATTCCTATAAGGATTCTATAATAATTTATAATTATTTATAAATTATAAATAAAGTATAATTTATCTTCACTACTAAACATTTTTAGATTAGACATTTGTTCTACTACACTATCTTACTATTAACATTTTCCCCAAAGAAGTAGAAAATAGATTTGTAAAAACAATCGCACTTCAGAATGCAAATAACAGTGGGGGAAAAGAACACCCTGTTTGATGCCAGTTGATAGTTTTCAGTTTGTGCTGTTTCATTTGGGAGGAATTGCTCTTGTATATTAAAAGGGGGTTTTGCTGTATTTTTTACCACTTATCCTGGAGTTTTGTCAAATATTTGTCTAAGAAAATACTATTACAGATTAACATTTTCTTAGTCGTTTACTTCTAACTTTTATGACTTTTTAAATGAAAAAGTAGTATCTGAAAATCCAGCATAGTTGTAATTGGATTAGCTATTGTTATCATGTTGTCTATGACGTTTATAAAATGGTTACTCATCTTGATTATTTTTCTTTAATCCTTTAGAACCTTGGAAAAGAACAAGAAGAAAGGGAAGATCTTTTAAACTCTCTATTGACCACCAGTTACCTATTAGTTGCCAGTATGCCAGCTTGGACATCAGTGTTTGTTGGATCCGTTTGACCAATTTGCACCAGTTTTATCCATAATGATGGATTTAACAGCATGACAAAAATTATTATTTTTTGTTGTTGTTCTTGATGGAGATTAAGATGCCTTGAATTGTCTAGGGTGTTGTGTACTTAGAAAGTAACAGCTCTAAGTACCTTTCCTACATTTTCTTTTTCTTTTTTTATTAAACAGATATCTTCAGTTTAATGCAAGAGAACATTTTACTGTTGTACAATCATGTTCTGGTGGTTTGATTGTTTACAGGATATTCCAAAATAAAAGGACTCTGGAAGGTTTTCATTGAGGATGAATTGCCATAATATGATGCAAACTATGCTTCTCTATAATTATAATACAAAGGTTCCATTCAGTGCAGCATATACAATAATGTAATTTAGTCTAACACAGTTGACCCTATTTTTTGACACTTCCATTGTTTAAAAATACACATGGAAAAAAAAAAACCCTATATGCTTACAGTGCACCTAGAGCTTTTTTATAACAACCTCTTTTTGTTTGTTTGTTTTGGATTCTTTAAATATATATTATTCTCATTTAGTGCCCTCTTTAGCCAGAATCTCATTACTGCTTCATTTTTTGTAATAAACATTTAATTTAGATATTTTCCATATATTGGCCCTGCTAAAATAGAATATAGCATCTTTCATATGGTAGGAACCAACAAGGAAACTTTCCTTTAACTCCCTTTTTACACTTTATGGTAAGTAGCAGGGGGAAAAATGCATTTATAGATCATTTCTAGGCAAAATTGTGAAGCTAATGACCAACCTGTTTCTACCTATATGCAGTCTCTTTATTTTACTAGAAATGGGAATCATGGCCTCTTGAAGAGAAAAAAGTCACCATTTTGCATTTAGCTGTATTCATATATTGCATTTCTGTATTTTTTGTTTGTATTGTAAAAAATTCACATAATAAATGATGTTGTGATGTAATGGAGTGTGGGGTCTTAAATGTTCTACAATTGAGGTACAAAAGTAGACTATGGAAAGAAACTTTTCAACTTGAATTTGCCTCCTCTATAATGACATCTCTTATATGCTTGTCTTATTTAGAATGCATATGTGCTGATTTTCTAATTTAAGAGATACCATATCTCTCTATTCATTTCTGTGTCTCATTTGTATGCTTACTTTTCTGAGAACATTTTTTTTTTTTTTCCCAGACAGGGTCTTGCTCTGTTGCCCAGGTGGAGTGCAGTGGCACAAACATGACTCACTGCAGCCTCAATCCCCTGGGCTCAAGCAGTCCTCCTGCCTCAGCCCCCAAGTAGCTGGAACTACAGGCATGCACCACCATGCCTGGCTAATTTTTGTATTTTTTGTAGAGATGGAGTTTCATTATGTTGCCCATGCTGATCTCGAACTACTAAACTCAGGTGATCCACCCACCTCAGCCTCCCAAAGTTCTGGTATTATAGGCTGAGAACAGTCTAACTCATTCAGCTTAGGTATTTTCTCAAGGTCAAATGATACAGATTTTAACATAATGGATAATTTAAGTGTAATTAGTGTAGCCCAGTTTATTATTTTGAAATGTTTTACCCTATCTACTTTGAGAAGTTAATGACCTAAGCAGAGGGACTATAAGTCAATAGCAGAGATTGTTGTTGTTTGGGTGTTTTTATTTCAGTTTTTGTGTTGACAGATTGGGTTAACACCTCTAGCCAAAAATGTTTGGTTTTAGGGAGGTTAAGAAGAACCTACTGAATTTGGAGAATGCAAAGATAAAAAATTTATATAGACTGCCCGCCTAACTGGTGAAGTACTACTGCTTCTGTGAAATATTTCAAAATTCTGTGTATTATAATAAATGTATGAGATAAATTCATTATTCTACCATCCTAATGAAAACTTTCAGAAGTCTTTATCCATGGCATGCCCAGGGTTTCACCTGAATCTGATAAAGGATCTATATAACTTTACTAGGTCTTCTGATTGTTGACTGCAGGCTTAAGTGTATTAGGAGGCCCTTTTTGCTATTTGGCCTTTGGATTTCTGAAAGGATCATTCATAATACACGTAAAATTCAGGTAGGCCTAAGAAAAGGCCAGCCTGTAGAAGGCAAAATGGCAGTGTCTGTTCTCCACTGTCCAAGGCATTATGTAATTGAAGTATCCTGTTAGCCACTGTCTTTCTGCTAATTAAGTGGGGCTGACCAAGTAAACACTAATAATAGCAGTGAACCACTTGGGCACCTTGTGGGTAGAGTTTTGCTGCCACCTAGTGGATTCATTGCTTCCTCATCAGGTTTCACAAGCAAGTTGTGAAATTGCTAATAAAGTAGACACAGCTTATTTCTGTGTAGCTCAGACTGTAATCTCAAAAGCTGAGGAGATACAGACCCATGCCTCTCTGACTCTTTCGCTGGGTGTCACCACCTGCACATTCTGACCCTCCACATCAGTATGTTTCATCCTTGTGGAGAAACTAATCTAGGAGTAGAAGTCAGATACGGTAGGTGAGGGGAATAAAAGGAAAGATGGCTTAACAGCCACGAATGCTTCAGGAGCAAAATGTTGGCTCAAAAATTTATCTACATCACAGTCTCCAAACCTGATGCTGTGTCCTTATAAAAATATGTCAGATGTACTGCTGCACTAATGTGAACATTATGAAGCAAAATTGGAAAGAGTGAAATAAAAAGGTTAGCACTCTTTTCCCAAGCCCCAATGAATTATTACTCTCCACTTTGGAGGCCATCAGTCTAGGTAGTATATGGATAGTTAATAGTTACTATTTAATCACCAAGGAAGGTCCTAGTGAAGACTGCTGTGGGGTCCTACTTGATTTGAAAGGAAAATTTGCCACACCAGTAAATTGAAGTCCTTTCTAATAAAAAGCTTGCAAATGTAAATCCTTGTACTTCATTCAGAATCTTCTCTGCCGCTTTTATAATAACAACTTCCTATAACTGTCCTGTTTCAGACAGTAACCTAAGTAGCATGTGCGTTTTCATTTAATAGCTAATAGATAATTTGGTAAGTTAAGATAACAATACGTTATCTAATAATTGAATAAGCTACTTAACATTTTAAACCCATTTCCTCATCCTTTTGCAGATGAGGAAACTGAGGGTTTAAAATGTTTAGTAACTTATTCAGTAGATGGGTGATAACTGGCGGAATCAAAGTTTGAACTGGTCTTGGTGACACCAGGGCCTGTGCGTAAATCTTAGACCCTACTAGCACCTGATCTACTACACTCCACATTTTTGAAGCATTATCATCTGCAAAGTTGTTTGAGCACAGAGCAGATGCTCCCTGATTAATAGGGTCAGCTGGCCACCAGGCAGCCTGGAGAAGCAGAAAGCACTGGACACACTAATTGTCTCAGTTTAGACCCCAACTCTGTGAATTAGGCATGTGACTTTTCTGGATGTTTGTTTCCTCAGCTATAAAATAGGCCACATGCCTTTTTTGCTGGTTTGGAGTGAGGATTACATTGTGACTGCACACATTAAGGTGTCTGGACCTCGAGAATGTGATGATCATCTGGGGTCATGGCAGACCAAAAACTATTATTTCTCCTCAGTTTTAGTGATGGTTTATTTATAGGAAATGTGCACAGTGCCATGAGAAGTCTCTAGATCTGCTTCTTTGTGCACAGAGAGAGTCTTTTGCAGTTAATTCCACAGAAATAAGGTAACTTTGGTCAGAAGAAGAAAGGTATTAGTAATTGGAGTTATAAAATATGTCAGTCTTTGTAAGTAATGCTGAGATAGTTTATCAGAGTCATCTTTAATGAAACCTTTGCTGCTTTTCAGGCAAACTTGGTTCCCATAATTTGGGATTAATCCATAGAACGTTCAAAGTTTAGTGTCGGCCATTTTCAGCAGAAAATAAGGGCTGACAATTTCCTGTGTTCTTTAGAAGACTTTGAAAGCTTCATGGGAAGAATGAAGACTATTCTTGGCCTGAACGCTTGCCTCATGGGGTTCTGGATGCAGCCAAACAGCCTTGTATTAGCAAAGGAGGGTCAAGTGAAAGGAGACCTTGTTCTGTGCCAGGCTCTCAAAGGGTAGGCTGAAACCCTATTGGCCACACACAACCTCTGTTTTAGATTCTGTTTGTGGGCCTGCCGAAATCTAATGCTACTCAGGCTTTCTGAAATCCTTTGGGGGTGGGAAGAGGGAGTAGTTGACACATCTGAGAGCAGAGGTTTGTGAAGTTGTGGCATAGATGGGGAGGCTAGCAGAGCGGGGGATGGTCCGACACTACCAACAAACTTCCTTTTTGTTTTGTTCTCTTTGAGGTGGGCCACCCCGCTTAGCTCCCTATAGTCCAAGTCCTTTGCAAGGGAGCAGCATTTTTACCGGGATATTTGCAAGTAAGTAGAGCACAGATTCCCCTGAGTGAGGGGCTGGCTCTCTCCCAAGTATGGGGATACCAAACTAACTTGTTCTGGCAAAGGCATAGAACTTTTTTACCCCTCATTTAATTCTGTTGTCCTTGAGTTTTTAATGGTCTCTTTCATATTTAAATATATGCGCTACTCTAGTGCAGCACAGAAAAGTTCCGTGTCTTGGAGAAGCCAGTAGTTTTAAGCAGCTTGGCAAATGATGGGTGAAGCAATCAGCACCCTGGCATGGACCCCGGTGTTAATGTGAGCTTTTCTCCCTGCATTTCAGAAGTCAGGGAACATATCGGTGGGATGGAGTGGCAGCTGTCCAATTTTAATTTTTTTCCCATAGGGATAAATCTCAGTGTGATTATACAAATCTCTGACTTAGCCTGATGAAAAACAAAACTAAATGTTGTAATCAATATTTTGGGAACAGAGTTCCCTCACCCAGACACAAATGAAATCTTCCTTAGACCTTCGTGTTTCTTGGCAGAGGTAGCAGGAACGCAAATTGGGGTTTTTCTCTCTCAAATCCCTACCTCATTAGTGCCTAATTACACCCCAACCCTAAGAGTCAGGTGCTTGGAAAATGAAATGGAGACCACTGGTGAAAATTCACCTTCTGTAGTCTCCTTTCAGGTACGATTGGCCCAATTATAGCTCATGTCCTGAGGAGGAGATTAGTTTTCTTTCTCCAACTTCTAAGAACTGATGAACTCATCCCACCAAATGTGAACGCTTTAGACAATGTTCAAACTGGGAAAAATACCTGCCTATCAAGGGAGAGAGAACTCACTTGGGAAGGGAAATCAGGGCTCCACAAACACTGGTTGCACTCTTCCAATTTTGATTCCTTCCAACAGTGTCCACAAACACTTGTTACTGTACTTTTCCAATTCTGCTTCTGCACAACAAGTGTTTGTGGAGTCCTGGCTGTGTGCCAAACACAGAGCATTCACATAGATTCTAGACTAAAGCTCATGAGAATACTATGACATGGCCATTTTCACCTTTTTTTTAAAAACAAGCAAACTACAATTTCACTGTGTGATTCCGTAACATTTGTATTCATTATCCATTGTTCCACAATAAATGCCCCTCAAGTCCGGCAACAAAATCTAAACCACACTAACGTGTAATAGTAACATTCGTTATCTTAGTTTGTGCAGGTTAGGAATTAAGTCGTTTGGGTGGGTGGTCTGGCAGGGTTTGCGATAAAGATGTTGGCCGAGGCTGCAAGTCAACTGAGGGCGTCAGTGGGGCTGGGGGATCTGCTCACTGGCATCACTGGCAAGTTGATGTTAAGAGGCCTCAGCCCCTTGCCACATGGACCTCTCCACAGGGCTGCTTGAGTGGCCTTGTGACATGGTGGCTGGCTTTCTCAGAGAGCAAGTGATCCAAGAGATTGCAAGGCAAGAGCCACATGGCTTTTATGACCTGGCTCTGAGAGTCACACACATAATTTCCCAATATCCTACTGCTAATGCAGCTTAGTCCTGTTCAATGTGTGAGGGGGTGCACAAGAGCGGGAGTGCTAGAAGGTGGCTACCACAGTATTTTATCCATTTTCTGGGTAATAGACGTCTGTTAAT